TATTATTTTATTCTCCAAAGAAATGGTCCTTCTTAAAACAAAAAATCTCATGCCATTATTTTTTATTAATTTTAATTATACATTAAATAAATAATTTTTAATTGTACACATACATTTTAGTTGTGCACTCTAATTGTTTAAAACATATTGCATTTGACTAAATTCAGTACAGTTTTTTTTTCTTGATCTATAAAATAGTGTAAATATTTTTAGAGTGTAAAAACGTTAGATTACTGACATTCTGGAGTCATATAAGAGATCATTTACTTGTTTATTTATTCTTTCATCATATACATATCTGTAATTTGCTCCCAGTGAGAGAAAGAAACCTGGTATAAACCTTACCAATTAACGTATCAAAAGCAATTACTCAAGCTGTTTAAGAAGCAATTACTGTATATACCAACTAGATTAATATATGTGATTGGTTGCTGAAGTTAAATATGTTTATAACTGCTACATCATGAAATTAGAGACTTGCTGCATTATCTGGCTTGCTTCTTAACTTGTGTTGGCTAAAGTTAGAATAAGAACATTTTTTTATAAAGTCTGATTAGTGCTGAAACAGTAGGATTCAAAATTCTAATTCCTTTGTCCAACCTGATTTTGTGTCTTAACAAATTCTCCTGTTGATTCTTAAGTATACTCCCTTTTGTAAACCACAACAGTGAAGATGTACTTATTTAATGGTTTTATTGTAATATAAGTAGACACTCTTATGTAAAATGCTGTCATTAATTAATCTCACCCTCTTGAATATCAGAATCTACCTGTTGAAAGGTTAAACATCTGAGTACCTCACTCTTTCCCAGAGATAATGTCTGTGAATATGGGAGAGAACCATAACCTGCACTGCATCGGGGTTGATGTAATATTTTTCTTTGAAAAACACAGGATTACCTCGTTGCTCAGGCATAGTTAAAAGCTGTGGATATGTTCAGCATAGGACAGATCAGAGTTGCCTACTAAAGCTTAGAGTAACAAATGTCTCCATTATGTAAAGAGGAAGAACTGTAATGAAGGATAGGGTTAGACAGGTATATAAACAAGGTAGGTCAAACAATTCTTGATTAAATATAAAATTTTCTTAGTTTATCTTTTAAACTACAGTTATTTTGTTAATTTATTACACTTCTTTTTAACCCACATAGAACTTCTTTAGAGGACCCAATGGGAGCACTTTCTAAGGCAAATGTATAGATTGTGAGTAGATTTTAAGATACATTTCTACCAGGAACAGTGAGTAGGAGTCCATTTGACAATTACAGACTTAAAGAGGCCAAAGGAAGGTCAGCAGGAAGTGCAATAAATGCAGAGGGGTGCACCTGTGTGATCTTCTCTTGTCCTAGTCAGATAGAGCCTCAGAGATTCTTTCTTTACATTAAGTCTGTGATTTGCTGTTCCTGGTATATTCAGATTGATTATAGCATACACATCATGGTTCATATTAGTTACCATACAAATTGTCAAAATAATTACCATATTTCTCTTGTGACTTTCCAAGCAACCCAAGAAACACTTTTTCATTCAGTGACAAATGTTGCTAGCATTTGGAAGAAGATAGGGTATCTAGAAAAAGATTGTATTTATTTCCTTTTTAGTGCTGTAATTAAGCTAGAAGAGATAACCCGAAATGTACTTCTGTAGTTGTCACCACTCCACCCCCGCAAAGAAGAGAGTAATCGAGACTTCCAGGGAATGAGTTTCTTTTCCCACGTTGCACTTTATGATAAACTGATGGATAGAAATATAGATTAAAAAAATACAAAGACTGGCTTGTGGAAGCCAGAAAACATAGCAGGTTGGAAAGAGCAATTGTGCATGATTTAAAAGTCCCAGGCTGGTGATTCTGATGCACTGGGAAGGCTGACGAACTCCACAGTACACTTGAGGGCTGGGATTGACTTTTGGTGAGTAGTATGAGGAAAGAGTAGTATGAGGAAGTCCAGTTCCTCTCCAACAGGAATCTTGAACTGCTTATTGAAATATCAGCTATTTGCTAGGAAAGGTCTGGAAACAGCCTGTGACAAAACAAATTTTAAGTTGCTGCATGACACGTACGGAAGCAAGGCAGTTACTTAGGACTGAAAAGAGTTTTCTGAAAAGTGTGAGCAGAGTTTTCTGAAGAGTGTGAGCAACGTGTGAAGTGGCTGGCTTGAAAAAGGCAAGGTTTGGGGTCAGAGAGATAGTACAGAAGGTACAGCGCATGCCTTGAGCACAGCCGACCTGGGTTCCACCCTCTCATCTCATGCAGTTCCTGGAGCCAGCAAGGAGTCATTCCTGCGTGGAGAGCCAGGAGTATCCTCTGAGCACCGCCGGTGTGATCTTCCCCCCAACAAAAAAAGACAGAAGCAGTCTAGTCTTAAAGAGGAAATGGAAGAAAAGTTTGCATGTGTGGAGCAGAGAGCAGAGGTGACACACGTGTTTAGAGGGGAACCGAACAACAAAGCGCTCTAGCATCCATGGGAAACATCACACTAGTTCATAAGAGCAGGCATGGGCTGGCATGATTAGATTTTCAGTCTCACAGGGTAAGGTTGACTGTTGTTTGAATAACAAGGGCTTATATGTGTAGCCTGGGGAGAGGAATGGAAATTCTTCTAAGGCTGTTTCAGAGCAACAGGAAAGAAAAGGTTGGCAATTTACACTAGGGGGAGCCAGTGGGAATAGAGAAAATTGGTTGAATTTGAAAACTTGAAATAAAATTCAGGACCCATCAACTGTTAGGTGAGTGAGTGAGTGGAACAAATATCCGCAACTTTCTTAAATGCCATTATTTTCTTCCAGTTTTTGCTAATCCAGACTAAAATCTGAATGGTAAATATGATCGCATAGTTAAGTTAAAGTGTGTTTTCAAAGGTAATTTTGTATTAAAAGGTAGAAGGAAAAACTCAAGTGTAAAAGTAGAAGAGCACCATAAATAGATCACATGCATAATAAGCTGTAAAATATCATTTTAAAGACAAAGTTTAATACAGCCATCCAAGGATCCTCCTCGCTAAGGGATTGTGGCCAGTTCATAATATATCCTGTATAAATCATACCTAGAGTGAATTTTACTTACAGGACATTAGCATGCAAGACGTGAATTTTGCTAAAGATAAATATGGTATTCTGTATAGGTTATTTTTAAGGCTTATATACTATTCCTTTGTTAAGAGAATAACTCTACAGATGAAGAATACTAAATATTTTATGACTTGTCCCAAGCCACCTCATTTATAACTATGTCTCATTCTACTAAATTTGATTAAAGGATATGCAATAATAGCAATCATATCTGAAGCTGTAGTTTTATCTTATTTGAATACTGTGGAGCAAGATTTACCTGCTATATAAATCAATGATAAAGACCCTAACGTGTCATAAATTGAAGATGAGACAATGAAGTGAATTAGACAGTGAAGGAACAATGAAGTGAAATAGACAATGAAGAGTTAAGACACATATAATATTAACATTTGTGGTAAGGCAAAATCGAGAAAGAGACACTTTCTGGGAAACACAAAGAGAATTTTAAGAGGACAGGAAAGAAAGTGTACTAAAATGTCTTTAAAGGAAATGAGTAACTGGGGAGAAAATTTAGTCAGAAGGAGATGAGAAAGATCAGTTCAAGTTGGAACTTAAAGGGCCACAAATAATAGTCCCAACCTAGTTGAATTATTTGAGTTTAGACAGGTGCTTTTGGGGTGCAGATACCCGTTTTTCCTGTAAACATCCAATCAGAAGATCTCCTTGCCTTGGGATGATGTTAAACCTCCGTAGTCTGATCTGAAGTCTTCCAAACTCTTTTTAAAAATAAAAGAAATTTCTAGTGCAGTTTTCAAATTTTTTTTCTGAGGTTATAAATTATTTGTTGTAGAAACTGGAAGTGATGATTAGTAGGGAGGAATAGGAGAAGAGAGGTGTTCAATTGCTAATCCACCGCTAGCAGTGGAAATAAATCACACAGATAAATTTAAATCTGGCGGAAGCACTGCATTTGGAAACTCTGAAGCAACAGCAGTGGCAAGAATATAGAGATGGCAGTATATCTGCTTGTAGACTGTTAAAATTTTAGAATTAGGAGGAAGCACTTATACATTTTAAATGTGAATATGAAATATTTATGTTTAAAATTTTATAAGTTTTTAAATTTTTATAAAAATATGAAAATAAAAAGTTTTTCTATTTTCTGAAACTTTGAAGATGACAGAAAAAAAGATGAAATGAAGTGACTTGATGAAAAAGCTCACATATCTAAGGGAGATAAACCACTCCTCTGTTTAAAAACAAAACTCTCTTGGTTATATGTAACCTATAACTAAGCCTATAAATAAATCATGACCTTAGTTTTCTGTTCTTCCATAATCTGCTCTCAAACTCTGTTTGTAATCTCATGTTCCCTTTTCCTCCTGTTTTCTGGATGGACAGAGATGAACTGTTCTAGCCAAATATCAGGGGATAGATGTTCTAAATGCCAGTTCAGAGATAGCAAAAGTGGAGTAAAGAAAATGATTCGCGAAATGAGTAGCCGATTATATGAGAAGTGTAGATGTACTCTTAAAGGGTCAGAAACGTGTAATAATTGGTGCTGTGCACATCACAGCTGGATAACACAAAAATGGAAACTTCTGGTGATCCAGTAGATTTACATTTTTAGTGAAAGACTTGGTGAAATAAGCCAAACTATTCAGATATTTACATTCTTTTTAGGGTTTCAAGCAGAAAAGAGCAGGTTCACATAGATTTGTTTGAAAGGTAATTGCAACTTTATTACCTTTGCTGTGCTCTCTGTCTGAATCATGTTTATGATGATATTTAATTTGGGAGTTTAGAGAGTTCTCACTTCATTATATCAAAGTTGTTTCATTGGCTAGTTGGGTATAAATATATGTGAGAGTGTTGTATAAAGAAGCCAGGCACTCTAATATGTTTGTGTATGTATTATATGAAGTACATGGACAATTACAAGAAAAATCAGAATTTGATTTATCTCATTTTTAATTTATTCCTTTAAGGTCTGACAGCAGCAGCTGCAGCAGCTGCGGCTGCTACCAATGCAGCTATTGCTGAAGCAATGAAGGTGAAAAAAATCAAATTAGAAGCTATGAGCAACTATCACGCCAGTAATAACCAACATGGAGCAGATTCTGAAAATGGGGACATGAATTCAAGTGTCGGTAAGTTTTATGTGCACTGAAACTTACTGTGATCATTTTGTTAGCTAATTGCTTCCCTTTACATATTATTGACTGCCCAAAATAAAGAAATTGGTGATTTTTAGTTTGAAAAACTATATATTATTATGTCTCTGACAACATGCATTCTCAATAAATGAAAAGCATCATTACCTTTTTTTTCTATAGAACTGACTTTAGGTTTACAGCTTCTAATTTATTTAAGATTTGTCATAATGTAAATATGTTTTAATAATTAGACTTTTGATGTTTGTTATAGATAACTTGTTAGAAGAATATTTGCACACCAAATCTCATACTTTTTATGTTCTTTAGCATTAATCATTCAGAAATTCGCATGAGTCTCAAAGCATAAACTTAATGCTTTCACATGCTGCCAAGTCTATGAATTATCTGAATTCTTTTGTTTAACTGAGTATTCATTACAATTTTTTCTCATTTAAAAATATGACCTTGATTTGTATTTATTTTTTCCCTAAAGTATAGAAATTAAAAGTAGTAGTCACTATTTAAATAAAAAGGAACAATTTTCTTTTTGGTATTCAGTTGAATAATTTGTTTTGTTAAACATAAATTCAAATGGAGGATTACTTTTCTTATTTATGATGTCTTTAGCCTCAATGTGTTAGAAAAATATGACCTTTTATTGTTCACCACTAAGACATTATTTCCCTTTAAAAATTATACTCAATTATAACTCAACAAGAGAAAGTTGAATATTGCATGATATGTGCAAGATACTGTAATCTAACGCATGTCCATGAATAACATAATAATTCAGGTTAGTTCAATTAGACCTTCTTTTCTATGTAGAATTTTGATATTTTTCTTTTTAAATAATTAGCATAACTATTTTCCTCTAGTTTCTTAGAATATAATTACAGGTATACGAAGGAATACAATGGATTTTATGACTAATCAAGTTCAAGGGGTACCTGGGAAGCAAACCTCTTCATGAACATTTAAGTAGAAAGTAACTTTGAAATATGTGCACAAAACACAGAATTCCTCTTCTGCAAAAGGGCAACTTCAGTGTAAAAAGGGCAGTAATAGAATTTTCCAGGATATATATGCAGGGAAATAGAAAATAATGGCAGAAAAGCGATTTGATTTGTGAGTTAGTTAAAAAGTTGTAGTGGCAATTTTTAGAAGGGTGAAATATTGAGGAACACAGTTCAAACTAAAAGAACTCTTCTCATTTGAGGAGAGATGTAGACTTACTTTGGTCATGAGTTACATAAGCTGATTTAGACTTCTAAATCATAATGTTAACGTGAAATAATTATCATTCTATTTTTTAAAATTGAGAATATTTAAAAAGAGAAGACTTTCATGTTGACCTGTAAAAGAGAGCTAAGTTAAATACTTGTGAAAACAGGCAGCCAGTTACTATAAAATGTAAATTTTCATCCCCAAACTATCTAGATGGTTTTCATATTTTTAAATAGTTGACTTCCAGGTTAGACAATACTTGATAGTTATTTTTAGAAGGAAGGAACTTTCTGTAGTGATTGAATTTACTCATTTTTGTTTGGTAGACGATGAGACTCTGAGTCACTAGGTTTTCCGTTTAAATGACAGCATATTTAAATATGTATCAGTCCCAAATTCCTGAGCAATTGGAACAGAAGCTGGCTATCCAAAATAATCAGCTTAAGATAAATAGAACATGGCTTATCATTTAGCACCAATAAACTTCAATATTTTATATTATACAGTATCTTTTGCTACTGGCCATCTGTAGCTTACCTTGTCTGAGTAGGTTGGCTCCATAATGACTTAAAAAAGAAGCTGCATATTTTTGTATTTGTTGGAAGAAAACTTCCATTAGTTGGAATTTGTGGGTACCAATTGAATGAGAAATAACTTGATTTGAGTTTTCCAAAGATGATCTTAATATTGTGAAATTGTGGGAACATTGGTGACATTGCTTAAGTCATAAAGAACCTTCATGTTTTTGCTATCTTCCTTCAGCTGATTTGGATAAAACATCGTTGATATTTTCATCCTATTCTCACAAGCTGTTTGCCTCTTAAGTATTTGATTTATTGTCCTTCCTTAGTGTTGCCTCTGCCCACTTCTTTATCTAGGGATCAAGGAGAGAGTTTGGGGGAGGGAAGAGGTAAGGTGAAAAGTATACAGGGCAATGGATGGATGGGGTTGAGCTGGCATAGATCAAAGAAATCCTGAATCTAGAAACGCGTTTATGTCCCCTTTGCCCCTATCCTTCTTTCTACAGTCTGAGGACAGTGTCTGTCTCTTGGTAAGTGTTCAAAATTACATCTTCTGTAACTTTGGAAAGTTATATAAACTTTCTGAGCGAGCATTCCACATCTGGAAAAAGGCATAAATAATAGTATGGATAAGAGGGGAGTTTAAGGAGCTCACTTTTGCCCAGTGTTTATTGCTTTATTCATCGCAATATCTGCTTATCACATTGTTTGCTTCTCTGTCAGCTTTGTGGTTCAAGTATTGTTTTTGTTATGATTATTTCTTCAAATTAGAACTCCTAAAAATGACCTTCTTCCTCTTTTTATTTTTCTTTTTTTGAAAAAAATATCACCAACTGCTTTATCCTCTGTTTTCCTGTTTTCTTTACTAGGTTTTATTTGTTAAGCTGCAGGCCTGGGAGGAAATTTGGGTGCAGCTACTACATCATCAGGATTTTGTTTCAAATTTTATTTTAGCTCTTTCTAGGAACATGGCAAGAATAAAAGAATTCCCAGTGTTCCAGGGCATGCAGTTTGTGGGCTGGGTGACTAAGAAAGCAGGCAGTTATCACAGACTGTCCTGAGTGTTAGTTAGTCTGAACTGCTTAAAGGAGTGATATGGAAGCTTGTGAATTCCAGGAGGAATCCTAAGAATCTCAGAGGTCTTTATTTTAGAATATAAACTTGCTGCTCTCATGAATCTATCAGTTGACTCTTTGAAGCATTGATACTCCTTAGAGAGGTGCTACTTAAATGATGTATTATTGCTACTCTGTCTTACCCAAATTCAGTGTCATTTTTAAAAGCCATTCTTTCTTTCTCTTGTGTTTTTCTTCTCTTGTGTTCATCTGAATTATAAATTCTATTAAACCTTTTTTTTTTCTCACAGGAAAACCGCTTTTTTCTACTTTGTATATAAAATAATTCTTCCTGTCCCAGAAAACAGATTTTAGTTTTACTTTTTTGGGTTTGGTTTGATGAGGTAAAGTGATATTTTAGTTCTAGATCACCCCTTTCTGTTTTTTAACATAGAGTATGAAAATTAGTTAGCAATGTTTAGGAAACTGTGGGGCTGATAGATAATTTTTTCATTTCCCAATTTCAAATGGCAACCTTGAGTTCACATCTTTCCACCACAATGATCACTTTAGGAGGAACTAAGGACTTCCTGATAGATCCAAGCGAGTCATCAGCAAGCTGAGTAAAATATATGGCCGTGTCGCCATTCTCCCTCATCCACAATCAATTGGATTCTTTTAGTTTAATATTTACTTGCTAAGATGAGATGCTAGTCTGCATGGTGATAAACAGTCTGCTCCTGGCATCTGAAGGTGACCTGTCAGTTCATATGGACAAATCTCCTGCTTACTGAAATGTACAAAATAAATCATTAAAGCAGGCAGGTGCTCATTCCCAGATTTAAATCACCATAGATTTATGATTTGAATTAATGCTTCATTTGGCCATAGAAATAGATGCTGAGACAAATGATATGCACTGGTTGGGTTTTCCATACTGTAGCCATCCTGATATTGATTACTGAGATGTCTTTGCAATCTCTTGTTTATATCAAGTACTATCTTGTGACAGGTTGGCTGATATGAGCTACATTGCAGATAAGAAGAAAAAATGTCCTGGATTCTTTTTAGTGGCAAAACTATCCACAACATACAGGCAGATAAATTGCCTTTTCTTTGCACTTTTTTTTGCTTTTAAGGACTGATCTACATAACTAGCCTAAAACATGCTTCTTGGAAATTGAGACTGGAATGTTGGAAAGGCAGAATTTTAAACTTGTGGACCCAAGATCAATTCCATAGTGTCTAAAGCTATTTTATCTTCTTAGTTTTTTTTTGCATCATACACTTTTTTAGGATACTAAATTAGCCACAATAGATTTCATCTAAATACAGGAAACTAAATTTTCCTTCTAGTTTTAAATGCTATATAAATATTGACATAGTGAGCATCTCTTAATAGTTTCTATGTTATTTAAATACTTGCTAAATCTAATGTCTTACTCCCCTAACTAATGACAACAAAGGAAACAAGTCTTTAAAGATAAATACATTAAATATTATTCCCAAGTGCCAGACTTTGTGGACTATAATTTATCCAGAGGCAGGAAAAGACTGCATTTTTACTTCTCTTAACATTTTATTTAAGGAAAACACTATGTACACAGTTTAAAGAATACTCAGAGGATTTAAGAGGGACCTTTGCCACTAGCTAATATCTGACTCACAGAACTGGTAAACAGCTATCAACAATAGTAGATTGCTTGCTTAGTAGGAAATGAGTTCATATCTATTCAAAATGTGATCTCAAAACAGATGTCCCAAGAAAATCTCATTGTTTAAACTATAATCATAACCCCCAACTGCTGTTATTTCTTTAAGGAAGTGAAGTAATCTTCAGATTTCAGTATTTCACTTTTTGAACACTATGTGGCATAAGCAAGAGTAGGTTTATACTGTGATCCACGATCCTAACCAAATTTAATTTATCTGGCATGTATGATTCATTTCAGTTACTCAAACTTGCAGTAGTTAGCTTGATGTGAGGGGTTTCAAAAGTGAAGCAAAATCTGGAATTTGAGATGAGAAAGTGTGCACTTTAATAGTCTATCTTACTACTTTGTTTTTATTCAACCAATGAAACAAAACTAATGAAAAAAGAGACTAGAAAAAGGTGATAAAATTGTCTTTCCCAGCTGATCATCCTCTTTGACAATTTTTTAATCATCCTGGCCAAAATGGAATAGCTACACCT